GCACTTCAGACAGCATTATGCTGTAGTCGGCAATCTTCCGTTTTGGTATAGAGTGGGACAGGGAGGGGGTGATGCTACTGTAGTCGAACGGTGGGACGGACGTGCAGTTCAGTTTTTGGGCACGCATACGGTGCTGCAGGGATTTTTAGGTGTACCTCTTCGGGCTCTTGCATACCTTTTTCTCGTCAGATGTGTGCGTGTTCTTTAGATCCTCAGATGGCTCTAGCACTTTCGTGACCACGGGCTGAGAGTCTTTTGCTAGATTTTGGCATTTAGCAACTGACATACGGTTTAATGTGAAGACAAACAACAACTCTATCGGTAGCGGAATCTGTACCTCGGGGAAAGGGTGACACGTATGTCTGTTGGTTTTCGATCAATCCTGCGACATACCCCTTGCTGCGACGGTCTGGTGGACGGAAAGGTGCGGGACCGCTTTCACAACCTTTCCCAGCCGTAGAGGAGTAGCCCTGGCTGGACAACAATCATGACCCGCGCGGATGGATTGTTGTTGATGTCGTCTTCACATATAAACCGTTCAGATCTCTGTCGACCCAGTACCTTCGTATGTCCGCACTGATCCAACACTGGACGCAGTCGATTCCCGTGGTCGCAGGCTGACTTACCCTAAAAGTACACTCAAATAAATGCATACCAAAGTACGTCCACAAGAATTCTTCTATTGTGAGATCCCTCCATTCGGTGGACAAGAGACTTGGACAACGTTGTCATATCGACACCGGAAGTTAATTTTCTTATTCCCTAGTTTGATCATTTCCCCCGCCAAATACGAATTCCAAAGCCCTCACAAAATGAAAACGACCGGCTTCAGAGAGTCGACGGAAAACGTATTCCAAAGAATGCGCAAGAAAAGCCTCCGGACAGCTCGTTGAAAACTAAGTCCGCTTGTGTCTTGATAATGGTGGAGAGACCGCAACGACCCTGATGAGATTCTTACACAAGTCCTGCGAACATGGTAGCAACATTGCACACACAGACACAGCGACCGCTTCTTGATGCAGGGTATAACCTGCGGTCCGCGGGGACTTGCCACTTGGGGGGAAAAAAAACACCCGTACAACGCATAGCGGTGGCCGAGGCAGGGCTACCGTAGAACCAATCATCGTTCTCGTTTGAGTTAGGTGTCTACGGGCAACGGCGGCAGCCAACTCCGTAGGAGTCGGCTCCTCCCTCGCTCGCAAACTACGAAAGACACGGTTGATGGCAACAAATGCGCACTTTCTGCAGCAGTTCTCAATACCAACAAAAACGTCGTGGCTGGTCTACGTTTCAAATTTTTCATCCCTTGGGCGGAAATCGCAACCCGTTTCGTCGACGTGTTGCCCTGCAGGTGGAGCCTCACCGACAACATACAGAAGGTAGTCGCCCTGCCGACAAGAGACAAACGGAAAAAGTGTCAGGCAACGACACGAAGGACGGCAGCTCGCTCGATTCTCAGGGACAAAACTCGACGTACTCGTCAGCACAAGCGGAGTGCAACAGGTTCATGAAGCAACGCATAAAACTACCGTGTACTCATGATACAAGTGACGGGGCGACTGCAACAGAGGGAAGTTTGTTCCGGGCTTGGTACGGACAGGCGTATACATCGCGGCCGATTTCATTTCGGCAACCCAGGGGGAACCCACGCTGGAAAATGAGTTGAACGGGTTTTCTTACATCGATTTCCCATCAAGCGCGAGGTAGAGTCTGACAGAGAATTGCACACACACGAAGCTAGTAAACATAGATGGAAGCACGGCGGACGGGCCGGGGATAGGACGAGTCGGGCCTGTTTATAATCCAAGGTTTACATCATTCATCCCACGGGGATAACCGGGGACTCTTGAAGGGGAATCCATTTGTGATCGTCATCCCCGTCCACCACCGAACCTCGTCGCTCATGCTTCATGACGCGTTGATATATCGTATTTTCTACAGGGCACAAAAAATGGAGAGTTCTGGGGGTCGGCCGAGTATTGATTGGAATATAAACTCGTCAAACACTCGTGCGCGGCAAAACAAAACAAGAGAGCTCAGTCTTTGAAACTAGCTATCGGCATCAGCCTTGTCTGCCTTTTGCAGGGGCCTAATAGTGAGCTGGGTAGTACATCTCCTCATCGCTCTCTCCTTTCCAATGCCACCACGATGACGGTTCAACTCGCTTGCGACCGCAACACCCGCGTTCCTTTAATGCACTTCCAAGTGCTTCATCAACTTCCAGCAATTGGGGAGGGCTGCAACCTACGTCAACTAAATCATTACAGCATTCGTGACTATTGCTTACCCTCATTACCTCAATCGAACCGCACACCTGTCGTGGTGGTCGCGAGCCACAGTGTGCTTGGACAGCAGTAATCCATTAGGACCACACGCGAGGGCGCACGCGCGACGAGCCTAGGGACGACTGCTGCTGTAGGGTGAGTGAAATCTCTCCTCAAACTTCACGACAGCAGTGTATTGCGTGCGGCACACACCCTTCGATGATGCGCTGTCGTAGCCAACGCAACGTGGTGAAGCACTTCGCGAAGACGTCCGCGAGGAAACGCCTGCGACGAACGTCTTGCCGCCCATCTTCAGACGTGTCTTGACATTGCTCGATGCCCAGGCTTGGAACACGAACTCGTCGGTCCGGCCTGATTGCATACGCAAATGGTAGGTTTTAGAAAAAGACAAGAAACCAGGGGCGCGTGAGTTTGGGCAGAGACGAGTTTCTCGACACCATAGGGAATAAACGGGTGGACAAGGACACCATTGCGTGTAACGAACGTGGTTGGCAATAATGACTCCATGCCCTCGTGAATAGGATTCGCGAGAACCAGGCAATTTTAGTCGTCAGCAGTAGTACAATCCTACCACACCGGTTGTCTAGTTTACGGCTTCAGAGATGTATGAAAATGTCTCGCCGAATAATTATGCTCGTAATTCCGTGGGGTTGTCGGAAACGGGCAAACTCAACACGGCGCACCCCCCGACATGGCTCTTTGCAGAGCACGTGTCAGAGGAACGATGTCGCAGCCTTTAGTAAGGGAAAGGGTCAAGAGATTGACGCTGTCACGATGGGACCCTCGAAGCGGAGGCAAAACCGCGTTTTCTCCTTCCGAGGAAGAGGGAAAAGTGGGCCTCTGACACGCCGAGGGGGCTTCGAAGTCGCGTCGGCCCTCCCCTGTCGCAAATGAGACTGCTGGCTATTTGTAGCTAGCTCGAGAGAAACAAACAACCTTCAACACGAGCAACGAGTGTTCACAACGTTTACGTTAGTTTTACAGAAAATATCAAACCTGTGTGACAAACGATTGGGATTTCTTGGAAGTACGTTGCACCCGGATGGTCTTGTGGTAGATACCATACTTGTAGCCGTATGATTTCTAGCGTCATCCGTGAAAAACACCCGTGAATGTACTCACAGCTGGTGGTATTGAGGGTTTGATCAGGACAACAAATGAGCAGTGCCGGAAATCGGGTACACCCGGTCCAAACAAGGCCATAATCGAGTGTCCCGGCAAGATGCTGCTGGAAGCGACCGCATGACAACGTCTGATTGGCCGACGCCTGCCCCTACCCGGTCTTGACCGTCTTTCCACCGGGTGCCCCCGATCCTGGCTACTCACCCTCCGGGGGAGTACCCGGTTTTTCTTTCGCCTACCCGAAAATGGCGAGTTATTCGGCGAAAACCCACATGCACACAATCACGGGTAGGACGCACACCGCTGGCCGCTCGTTTGTCACCGATGAGAAAGCAGCAGTAGCAAATCTTTTTAGATGTGTCTCGTGTGTGTGTCGCATATCGTGAGTGAGGCATTCATCCACAGCTCTTGTCGATCATTTACACCGACCGCCCTGATGCCGTTTCCCTCAAGCGAGAGTCCCACCGCCGGCAGTGGGTCCGCCACCGCCCACCGTCAGAACGTCTGAATTCGAGCGCAAGGCATTGGTGTACCTGTGTGCATGGGGTTTGGCCGAACAGCCCAGCCATTTTCGGGCAGGGGAAAGAAAAACCGGGTATCCCCCTAGGGGGCGAGTAGCGAAGATCGGGTGCACCCGGTGGAAAGGTGGTCAAGGTCGGGTAGGCGTGGGCGTCGGCCAATCAGATCGTGTCATGCGGTTGTTTCCAGCAGCATCTTGTGGGAGTACCCGATTATGGCCGTGTTTAGACCGGGTGTCCCCGATTATGGCCACTGCTCATGACAAATCAAAGCCCCGAGGTGGCGTATTGCGCAACTTCACGAAGGTGCAACTTTATGAAGGTTTTAAATAGCATCTTGTGGTATCTACTACAATGATACTGTGTGTCATGTCACCAACAGCTGTGGTACGCAATACAACAATACCCCTGCTGTGGTCGGTGTCCAAGAGGGACAACGATTCCCAGCCACACACACGCCATCATTTCAGCAGGTGGGACATTAGGGCATGAATTTGTTGGATCACAACCGAGCGTCATTATGAGCAGGACATGTGTAGCCATGGAAACAGGCACCATGGCAAAGCGAGTTGCGGCTCTGCATGTCCTTTCCCGGCGGCTGCACGACAACCAAGTAGTCGTGGGTGCAGTTCAATGCCTTGCACAGAATATAAAACGCGGGAGAATGGCGGAATGTCCTTTGGCAGGCGATGGTGGGGAGTAGTAGCAAGCAACATGCACTCGAGTGCCGAGGTCATCAACATGGCCAATCGAAGCACACAACGTTGCACGGCAGCTGGGCAAGTGTACTCCATGTCAAAAATTGCATTGAGGGCTCTGCTACAGGTGTGCAGTGCATACAAAAGCTACGAACGCATGTGCACCACCAACTAGGGAGGGAACAATCACCACGCATTGCCGCGTTGGCCTTGGGCCGCCCACCACTTGCTCAACACTCACTGCTGTGTTCAGCACGGCAATAGAGTTGAAATGACCAGCCAGTCATCCACCTCGGGCACAGGAATGCAACAGGACAAAATGATACAGGAGCCTTGTACCCTGAACGCCCGTGCCACGAAAAAGGAGTGCTGTTTCGCGCGTGAGCCAAGTGAGGCACGCACACCTTTTTGCTGAGGGCACGCGCCATTTTCGAGGAGGGCGAACGCGCGCCACCCCGACGCACTCATTCTCTCCCGCATACGCCGTTTCTGTCACTACAGGAAAAACAGAGCCCGAGTGGATGTCTGCCCAGTGAACAAACGACTAACCCCTTCGCAGGTCTTGATTACAACACACCTCTCTACGATGAAGACCCCTCATCGTCCCACAGTATTTGCAGGCCTCAGCAGGCAGGGGCAGGCTTGCGCGTGCAGCAGGCGTCGCTCACCGCAGAGGCGGTCAAGCCCATGCCGGCGGCCTGAAGCGGACGCCCTCCGCACGGGTGCTTCTTCTTCTAGGAGAGTTCATCCTGGGCCGAGTAGGGACAGAGAGAGGAGTAGGTTGTTGTGTGCCACAGGATGGCTGGCGGCGGCACCAGCAGCAGCAGCCCGGAGGGACCAGCGGATGGCCGAAAGAGTCCATGGAGCTGCCGAATGCCTATCTGCGTGTGCCCCAAGAGAGCGGCACCCATGGCACCCTTCAAGCACGACAACTCGCGGAATGGGGAAGCAGCAGCCCGTGCAGCAAGCGAAGCTTCCGGGCGACCTGGAGAAGCACGGAGACGGAAGAATGGGCGAGTCGACTGCTCCCGAGAGCAAGTGAGAACAGGGGTTTTTATTTGGTTGAGCATTCCTGCAACAATTGAATCGATTTTTCTTTACAGACAGCAGTGTTTGTTGTGTTGGTGTTTTTTGCCAGCAGGCTCGAACTCGAATCTAGTTGCCCCAGAGGAGCAGGCGGGGAGCTGAAACCACATTCGCCGCCATCGATAATGTAAACACGACTTCACTGTTCCGTATGGTGTCTACGTCGTGCTGTTACGTCGGGAAATACTCTTGTCCGGGATATGTATATCGTGTGCCCAAACATACCTGTACCCGCGACGGCGTAACTTACCCTCATGAGTTAGGCTTGTCGCCCAAGCAGCGGACGGTTGGCGTAAGGTGGCGGCGGCTATCTGCCGCAACATCCCTCTTGTGTTGGTTGTATTTTCTCTCTCGGATGCATCGATGCATCGATGCATTTGCTACCCGTTGAACGTTGTTCTAGCACTCCCCCCCCTCTGGGACGATCGATCTATGTGTTGTAGGACGTCTCACTGACCTCTTCGGATTCTGTTCGAGCCGACAACAAACAATTGACGATATCTGCACCGGACGTGGTTCTCGTGATCCGCCCGAACCACCTCCTACTACACACCGACCGCTATGGTAGGCATGCTGCTGGTAGATACAGACAACCTTTTCTCGTGAACATGCATCAGTTTATATACTATCTTGTGTTCTACTCTATTTTCAATACAGTAATCACAATCTGAAACCGCCGTGTCGAACAACCCTTTGCTTACGTGTTTGCATATGTTGACACCAATTTTGGTTTCACGTTCCATCTCCTTTCGACAGGGGCAGCAGACGATCGGCCAGACAAGCTTTCGAGGACTGTCCGCTCATCGAGATCGTACACTTCCATGGTAAGCCGAGAGAGAGAAAGATTACGCCGGCGGGGGAGGGGCGGGCGGTACATAGACCGCTTCCACGTATTGATTTCGTGGTAAGCTAAGGTGAAACTGCTCTGTCGATTTTGATCCCGTGACCGACGTACAGTTAGGGGTGCCAATCGGTCAAATTTCCTGTAGGAAAAAATTTCGAAAAGTGTCCTGGATCTTCCAGATGGAAAAGCGCTCGAGCCAAAAAAATCACATCGAACGTTCCGAAGAACCCCGCCAGAACCAAAAAACACCTGACGCCCCGCGAGCGCGAAGCGTGTGTGAACGCGTTCCGCCGTGCCGTGGAGGTTGCACACGGCACCCTAGCGGCACCCTAGCGCCGTCCGCAACCTAGCAAACATGCCTGGTGGCTCACTCGAACAGCCGCCGGGCGGTGGGACCGCGCGGACTCCTCCTGCTGGAGGAAGCAGTGCTCCTCCTGCTGCTGGCGAAAAAAACAGCAGCAGCGAGGAAGCACCCATCATCTACGCCCACCGCCTCCGCCTTCGCCTTGTCTCGTTCAGCCTCTTGCTTCCTCCGCTCTGCCTCTTGCTGCGACCGCTCTGCCTCTGCTCTCTTAGCCTTCTCCTCCTTTAGCGCCTCGGTGCTCTCGCGCGCGAGCTCCTGAGCCATGCTGCACTCAGCGGTGCTTGCCGCCTCGCGCTGTTTACTTTCGACCAACTCATGCTCCTTTTCTGTCAGCGCTTTCTGTGCGGCGGCAACACCGCCCCTTTCGACCGCACGCCGTGTGTTTGACGCTGCGCAGGCGGCGTACACAGACTGCCCCGACGCCTGTTCGTACTTGGCTTGGTTTTTCCTGAGGTTCTTCGCGGCTCGCCTGCTGCCGCCACCAAAAACGCGCCTCTCTTTTTTTTGGTTACGTTTTTTTTGCTGCTGTGCTTCCCTGACAGGCGCTGCAGGAGACCCGCTTGGAAGACCATTTTCAGACATGTAGATCTCGCTGTTGACTTGAGCGATTCCAGTTCGGTCTTTTGTGTTGGGTGGTCTAACTCCCAAGGTGGTGCACTGCAAGCTCGCTTTCTCAAGAAAGTCAGAGGCGGCCTCGGGCATTGGCCATACAGCTGAAATTTGTAGGTTTTTCTGGGTTGTTCATCCGCCCTATAAACTTACGCATAAACCGAGCTTGCAGTGTCCTCTATTGGACTTGTGTCCACATGTGTGCAACGTATGAAGAGCCACGTCGCTGCCTGGACGCAGAGCTACTTATACAAAGTACGGAGGATAAAGTATACTTTGATTGGTATGATTCAAGAGCTGACTTGAGAACCAAAAAGTCCGCGTGCCCCCCTTTTTTTTCTCAAAATCCTCGAATAGACCGGTCACTTTTTTGCCGCCAAAATCGCCCCGATTGGCACCCCTAACAGTGGACTAGTCGACGAGCAGTGTAAAGTGCAAAGAGCCAGTGCACCCCTCCGGCCGACCACACTACGAGAAATGGCGAATTGAACCTTCTCAACAAGTGTCGCGGGCGAGCTTGCGCTTTCACGACGGCGATGGTGCTTTCTCACGATGACAGTACACCGCCACTTCGTCAGGAGGTGGTCGGGCGAAACATCGGGGCTGATTCGCGTCATACAGGCACACCTAAGTGCATTGATCCATATTCACACAGCGCCCTTGTGCTGATTAATCCATGTTAGGCGCTTCTACTGGCACAGCGGCAGCCGTTCCAAATGGGCGTAATCTGTTCAGGTTTTCTTGACCTGAGTTGCCGTTTATCCCCCAAAACCACGAGCTAAACGATCACCTTGTTTTTGCCTACCGTGCCGTGCGATTCGCACAACCCCGACGACCGATGCACAGAGTGCTTGCGCGGGGAGCTGCGTTCCCTCCGAAGAAACGTCCAGACCCTTTGCCGCCAGATGCGAGACCTCCACCACAAAACGCAGTCGGCCGTGGCAGGAGCGCCTTCGCCACGGCAGCAGCAGCAGCATCGCGACGGGGACCAAGCAGCAACGGCGCCGATGGCGCTTGAGCTAGAGGACAACGACGCTGATCGGACCGAGAAAATGGTACCGGCGGCGGCGGCGGCAGCGGCAGCAGCGGCGGCGGCCCCGTCCACCGCCAACGACGCCTCAGCAACAACACCAGGGCTGATGTCGCCTTCGTCCTGTGCCGCAGCGGGGCCGACGGCGGAGTCGCTTCCAGCGCAGCACCTGGAGCTGGAGGTGCGTGTGCAGAGCCAGTTTCAGCTCCTGTGGGCCGTGTTTCAGAGCCACTCTACGGCGGAGGACGAGGTTATCTGGCCCGCGCTCAAGGAGAAGGCCCGCTCCAGCGGTGGAAAGGTGGGGTGGCGGGTGGCGATGTTTGTAGTTAGTTCATCATCTCCGTTTTCACCACACATGTTGTTCTCCATGGTAGCATGTATGGTAGCATGTGTGTTGTCTTTTTCTGGTGCCGTGTGTGGTGGTGGCTGTTTGTGTCTGTAGTGTTTTGCGAGAAACGTGGCGGGGACATAGGTTTACGGTTTTGCGCGTGCTTTTCCCCCGTTTCAGCTGCACTTTATAGGTGACGAGAACACGCGCTCTTCGCCTGGAGGAAGGGTAGGCCCGTAGAACCTGTGTATCGCATTCACCTTTCCGCCCGAGAAATGTGATGGCGCCGGGGATGTGGTTCCAGTACTGTTACTCCTCCTGTGCTCAGACTCCTATCACAGCAGTGCTTGCGATTTCGGTAGCCCGGCGACCAGACTGGACGTGGAGATCCCGCGCCCTAGAGCAACTAGTTTACCCTTCTGAAGGTCACATTATCACTCGGTTAAGGGACGCAGAGTGCGATGTTCCGCCTATTATAGTTCATCCCGGTGGCACTGCTGTTCCAACATTTCGTGTTGACGGCTCTTGTTTTGTCTATACTTTCAACGCGAAACCGGCTGTTGCCTTGTCTTGTCTCGTCTATCCAAAAATAGCTGAAGCTGGTGAACCACGGGGATGCTCCCGACGCACCAGCACCAGCACCACCAGCCGCGGTTACAGCAGCGGCGGCGGACGTCCCGTCCAACGGCACCGGGGCCGCAAGAAACGAATGCAAAACCTCCAAAGACAAGCAGCAGGATGACCCATCTCGCGTGAAGGGAGAGGCCACCGCAACCGATGCAGCTAGACGGGTGGAGCAGCGAGAGGTTGTCGCTAGTGGTGGTCGTGTGGAGGGAGGGGGAGGGGGGGGACGGGACGGGGATGGGGGGCAGTTCGGAGAAGCCATGATCGACGAGGCAGAATACACGGAAGAGCATCATGAAGAGCAGCTGCTGTTCGAGGACATGCAGGAAGTGCTCACGGTGAGGGAGACGGAACGCCGGCAATGGAATGATGGAAGGAGTGGCGAGGGGAAGTACGCTCATGTTTCGCATGCATTCTAGTGGTTAGACCATCGACGAGGGTTGGGGTGGGCAGCGAAATATGTACCATAAATGCTAGAGTGGAACGATACTCCCCATGGTTTGTGTTCCTTGGTCGAAGTTTGCTGTGGCCTTGAAACCGAAATCGGAGTTGCATGTGTCGTGTTCAAGAAAATGCTCGTGGTGAGGAGCGGGGAAGTGAGAAACCCAACCAAGCGTTCGTTGGAGATTTTTGACCGTCTAATTTGTTGAGCACAAACTCACGCTCAGGTTGCAAGCACCGTCCGTGTGAGTCACTTCGAAGCCCTTTCATCCATACGACGTTGCTCTTTTCAAGATCCTGAACACACATGAGCAACATGATGCTATGCATCCATGATGCGCGAGGTGCCCTCTTCCAAATATAAAATACGTGGAAACAAGCTTGGTTCCCCAAAGCATGCATAACACAGCTACTGTAGATTTGTGAAAGCGAGAGATAACGGATAGCATTAACCAAGAGGCGAGCCAGCCGAGAGTCAATTTACCTACCACGACACCCTTGTCAACGATGTTTGATTTCGTGCTGCTGTGTGTGCA